TTGTGGGGCTGCAGAGGACCACCCAAGGAGGCACGTGGAGGGTGGGACTAGAACCCAAAATCTGTTCCAGTCTGTTCCATGGCCCAGGCCTGCGCTGGGTGGGACTAGATTCCACAGAGAGCTCCTCCCCCAGCTGTGTGCATCTGTCAGCCTCTGTGGGATGAAGCAATACCTAGGAACCTGGCCAAGGACACAAAGGCCCAGGACAGAACAACTGGAGCCACTTCCAAGGGGCATGGTCGGCAGCCTAGTGCTGCGCCTGGGCCCTACAGGGTGCTTCCCTCCTGCCTGGCTCAGGGAGCTGCATTCCTAAGGCCACACCTCACCCTGTCACCCCAGATCCCCCTAGCTGAGAGGTAAGAGGCTGTCCCAGCCAGTTAGCCCCTGGGGGGATGTCCTCAGCAGGTCTCTGCACCTCCCTCGGTCCCCTTCAGGATAATCTGGTTCCATCTGGTTCTGCGAGTCCCACCGTTCAGCTCTGATGGAGAACACTGCCTTTGGGTGCCCCTAGTCTGAGGGTGGAGGTGGCTGCCCTGACAAGCCTCAGTCCAAGGTGGGAGATGCAGTCCTGTACACAGGAGCCTGTCGTAGGGTGGAGGATGCACAGCCTTGCCTTCCTAAAGACTCCAGTCTGAGAGAAGCCAATCTACACTCAGGTGCTCCCAGGCTGACGGGAGTGCCCTGCCTCCAAGCCTGGGCTTTGGTTCTTTCTTTCAGGTGCCCTCTCCCCTTCCCAGCTGTGGGGTGAGCCGGCCCACACTGCTCTTCCTCAGAACTCAGCATGACTCCGAGTTCCTCACAGTGGGCCCCACCTTAGGCTGTAAGCTGCAGCCAGCATGGAGACAGACTGCCCATGTGCCGGGCCTGACAGAAAACATACGCTCCCACCATGCCATTGGCTTTGGAAAGAAGCTCTTTGGCCCGGCTGTGGCTGCCACAGTTCCCAGAACAGCGCCCCCTTGGCCCAGGACCTGTACCACGCAGGCCTATGGCAGGATTGTGCAGAGCTGGAAGAACTCAGATCAGACAGGTCCTTCCTGCCTTGTTGCGGCCCAACGCCGAGGTTGGCCCAAAGGCAGGGTGACTGCTCCGGGGCCACCCCACACCCACAGTGTCCGCCTGATTCTCACTGCACTCCCAGAGGTGGGATGATGACTGACGAAGGAGCTCAGAGCCTGTTTCCCATCTAGCAAGTGGTGACTCTTCTCACGAGACTGTTGCCAAGATTAAACTAGGACAATGCGGTGAAAACGTCAGCACGTGTCTGGTCAAGGTGGGTACTTGCTCATTTTGTGGTTTGGCTTTTTCTTCCTTTTTCTTTTTTTCCCCCTGCTCAGCATCCACACTTTTAGGGACAGAGAGGCAGCTCTGTCCTAACTCAGAAGCTGACACTCGCCACCTGCTTCCACCAATCAGGAGCCTGCCCTGAGCCTGGGGGATACACACGTGCGGGGGAGGTCAGTGGAAATCATTCGCGGGGGCAGCGGCAGGCTGAGGCCGGGAAATGGTGGCCCTGAGCACAGAAGCAGAACCAGGCACTTCCTGCCGGGCCCCTTCCCTGTGCCCCCAGCCACCAGCCTGCCTCGACACCTGTCCCCTCTCTGAGCCCGGCTCTCCAATTGATTCCGTGAGCAACTTGGTGTCCTTCCAGTAAATTCTTGTTCTGCTTAAATTAGTCAGTTTCCATTGTTTTTAACGAAGACCAATTTGGAAATTATTGTGAGGAGAGGAGGGCAGACTACACACCCCAGCAAGACGGGGGAGCTGATCATCTGGTCTAGTCGGGCTTCGAGACAGGGAAAATCCGGTTTGTGTCCAAGGATGTGAATCGAGCAGCCTGTGGTATGTAGCGATGAAACAGCTAATTAAATCACATTTAATTCATTAATTAAATGATGGCCTACGGCCACCTGGAAAGAAGCACCACTGAAGGCAGAGCGGTGAGGGCCTGAGTCGATGCCGCCAACGAATGGCAGGGAGACTTTGAGGACGGATGATGCCTCTGACACCGAACGATGAAAGGAAAACGGACAAGCTAAAATCCCGAAGTTCTTAGCTTGAGGCACAGACTGGAACCTAGGAAAATTCTGTAGAACGGGACTAAAAATTCTCCCTTCTTTTTCTGCAGCAAGACAGAGTTTGTGGAAAGCCCAGTGCAGAATCAGATCCTTTTCACGGCCAAATTCTAACAGCTGCTGGGCTCACAGCCTCTTCCTCCTCCCTGCCTGCTGCATAAACGCTGACAGTGCCTCAAGGCTGGCCCTGGGTCCTTTCCTCTGCTTGCTTTGCAGCTCTCCAGCATGTGGGATGCATTTGGCTGCAAGTAACAGAAAGCTGTGCAGGTGGAAGCCACAGGTAGGCGGCTCCTGGCACAGGCGGGTCTGCTGTCAGTGTGTGGCTGCTCTTCATCAGCAGCTCTGCGGTTCTCTGAGCTGGCTTCATCAGAGGGGTGGGGATGCCAGCTCAGACTGGCTTGCAAGGACTGATATGTGAATCCGAAGTCCATGTTCCCTGGGTCACGTTGGTAGTTAGAAATTGGCAGTGGTTGACATATTTATATCATGGAAATCAGCAAACACTACAAATCTGGAGTTTTGTTTTAATTGGACAGGTGGTATATCAGTACACTACCGGCTTTCTCCTAGATCTGGGTCCCTAAAGGGATGGCATGGGCTACCAGCTTCTTTATTTATGTGCCCAGAAGACAGGGACAGAGAGACTCTCCCCTGTCCATGGAACCAGGTCCTGCTCCTCAGCCTCAACTGAGAATGAGCACCAGATGCTACTTGACTGGCCTGGTCTCACCAGGATCCCCTTGGAGCAGGACTGTGAGCTCAGTTTCTCCTGAAGAGCAAGCGCTCTGAACAAAATGCAGCTTCTTTAGGGAATGAGGAAAGAAGACATAGAGGTGGGTGGGCAGCAACAATCCCACCATACTGTCAGGGGGGCTCACACACACCTGCAGCTTCCCTGATTCCTGAGCTGTGTCCCCAGCCCGGGTAACTCACACACAGACCTGCAGAACTGACACCTCCTGGACATCTCTGCTGGGCAGGAATAATAATCACCGCAGCCGATGTACATAGCACCCACTGAGCACCAGGCTTCTCTCCATGTGTCGGACTCGGATTTGCTCAGCTAATCCACATGGGGCTCTAAGACGTGGGCTCCAGCCCGTTTGCAGATGAGACAATGAGGCTCTGGTGGTGCTGGGACAAAAACCAGCCCCCTGGCTCCAGGCCCCTGCCCTGAACCTCACTCTACCTATCCCCCATGCCCGCACACTTGTGATGCCTCAGACTTGTCTATTTCCCTCTGCATCTGCCTGCAGCCCTTCACCTCCTTGTCTACCACTGGCTCCAGAAAGTCCAGGCCGGGACAGAGGCCTCACTCTGGCTGGCACAGTGCCCCTGCCTCCCCTACCAGGCCTCGTAGCCCCTGGTTGCTCTCCCCTTCATGACCTGTGAATTCTCTGGGTGCAGGAAATGGGCCCTACTCCACGTGCCCAGTGCCCTCAGCCCAGGGCCGGGCACAGGGGCCCACTGGTAAAGAACAACTTGGGAAGAGCCCAGCCCAGGCCCGGGTTCTGGTGGTCCTACATACAGACGCCTTTGCCTGGCCTTCTGGCGGTGTCCTGGCAGCCCCTCCACCACCCCAGCTGGGTCTACTTCACACGCTCAGCACGGATCTCCTTACCTCCGCTCTCAGTTCCCTTCCTGCTTTACTCTTTTATTAAGATTCTAATTAAATAATTCTAATTAAGTGTAATGAGCTGAATCGACAAACTTATTGCGATAAATGGCATCCAAGATGTGCGCTCTCCCGATCCTTCTCGGCCAGCAGAGCGGATGGCACTGGGCCCTGCTGCCTGGGGGTGACTTAGCGGCTGGACCTCAGTGCCACACAAGGACATGGCCATGTGGGAGCCCCAGGCCAGACTCTGCAGCCCAGCCAAGGCCTCCCCTGGCCCGGCGTCCCTGCCTCTTCCTGCTTTAGGCTGAAGTCCCCCTCTTTTTAGGGACGATGAGCAATGCTTGGCCCATCAGTCCTGAAGCCTTTGCTGCCTCCTTGTGAGGCCGGGCAGCCACGGATCCAGACCCAGAGCGGGGGTTGGCTAACTACACAGGGGCCTGTCTCCACCTTCATCCTCGCTCTCTGAAGAGGAGGAACTGCCCTGGTCTGTGTCAAGTTCCACCCCAATCTGGGCCCCATCTCACTTTCTAGCAGATGGCAGGTTAGATAGGAGCGAGGGAGCCTCAGCGAAAGAGGAAGTGCTGGAGCGCTGACTTAGGCCTGGCTTTTATCCTGGGCCTGCCCCTTCTGGGTGGTGCAGTCACCTTATCTCTCTGACCCTCAGTAATAACGGCCACCACTGACCAACAACCTCCTGGAAGGTAGGTTCCCTGCTTTATATCTGCTGTCTTGGGCTGCCGCTTTTGAAATCAGAATGCCTGGTTCAAATCCAGGCTCTGCCCCTTTTCTGCTGAGTATCTCTGAGCAAGTACCACCCCCTCTGGGCCTCAGTTACCTCTTTCTCCAAAATAGTGCCCACCATAGAGGATTAATGAGGTGGCTCGTTGTAATGGCCTTAGAAAGTGGCTGCTGGCAGTAAATGCTCACTTCATCCTCACAGGCTATAAGGTGGGTCCCCGCTGTACAGGTGAGGAGACTGAGGCATCCTTTGACCAAGGTTATGGAACCATCAAGTGGTAAAAGTAGGATTTGAACCCAGGTCCTCCTGGTGTCTAACTGTGCTCTTTCCACAGTGCTGAAGTCCTAGCTTTCCCCAAAGGACCTGTTTCCCCGCTCTCACTGAGCGCTGGCAGGGCCCGATGATACGGTCTTCCAAATGGATCAAAGGAGCCCTGGCCAACCAGGGGACTTGGGAGCGAAGGGTTCCGAGCTCAGAGCCCTGCGTCTGGGGACCAGGGGTGAAGACCCACTGCCGGAGACCTCCTGGAGCCGCCTTCCACCCAGCCCCCAAGAAACAGGCACTGACCTTCTGGATTTGACTTCTTACAAAAACAAGGGCTGATCTGGGAGGAACAAGAGAGAGCCGAGGCTGGACAGGGCAGGGCCAAAACAAACACCCCACTGCCACCCCGCCAGGCCCCCTCCAGGTGCTACAGACATGCACACAGGCACATGCCAGAGCCTCCGAGTCATCATGTGCCTGAGTCACATTTGGGTGTGAATGCCTCTGCACACAGCCATGGAGCCAGCGGAACACACTGTGGGGACGCTTGCTCCACCACACCCGCTCCCGGCTGGCAGTGACAAGGGACATCAGGCCGATACCACATAGGATGCCCACATCCCACGCAGACCACGTCCACCCCCCGCCCCCCAGACACACAGACTGGGGACACCACCAAGCCCAGACTCTGGCTGTGCACACCGCTTTTCCTCCACGGACCCACCCAGGTGCCCCCAGTTAGGAATTGGGGAGGAAGCGCTGTTCCCTCATCAACCACCCACTGCCCCGTGTCAACCCTGGAAGTTCCTCCTCTTGGGCCTGGAGGATGGCCGTGGCCTCGAGTCACCATAGAGCCCCTTACTGAGCAGCCTCGGTGTCCTTACGTCCCTGCAGAGCCCCACTCAGCCTCCCTCAGGAGCAAGTCGCAAGCCCTCACCAGCGCTGCTCTCCGCCCCGCTTCCCTGCCGACACCCCTCTTCTCCACCCACACTACCCCTTCACACATCCCAACCGTCCCTGAATCTGCACTGCTTTCCTCCACCTCAGCCACTCCGTCTCAGGCTAGCCTCGCCCCACACCAGCAGCAGGGTCCCATGGGATCCCTGCCCCTTCCTGCCTTCTTCCCCCGTGCTGACACCACACGTGCTCCCTGTGCCACCGTGAGGGGAGTCTGGCGTGCCCCACCACTAGAACACCAGCTCCACGAAGGTGGGAATGACTGCCGTTCTATTCCCTGCCGTGTTCCAGGCACCTCGGACACAATGGGCACAGATCAATCAAAGGTGCCGAGAACCACTTTGACTTGAGCCTGGCTTAGAGAACACCGGGCCAGGCCCAGCCCATGTGCGACAGCCCTGCGATACAGTCCTGGCGTGGTCAGCTCACTTTACCCGAGTCTCCGGGATCACACCAGTGTCCTGAGGATGAAAGGAGAGAGAACGTGTGGACTCTCAGTGTGGACCCCCACGGGTGGGAGGCATGGAGGCCGGGTCTCCCCTGAGCTCCCGCCCCTGGAGTGTCAGAGTGTGGTGGGGAGAGCGCTGCACATCTCAGGGCCAGATGCCAGACAGCCCTCCACCTCCCCTCGCCTGGAATTCCACCCGCAGAAACAGCTGGCTGGTGCTAGCTCCAGCCTCGTCACACTGCCCAATCCCGTTAAGGGACTTGTCCAGGGACTGTGAACATGGCTTCTCCTCACACCTTCAACTGAAACTGCCCGAGTGGAATGCTTTCCCAACTCAACGGAGTGGTCTGTAGCATCTTCCCTCTGGGTACGGTTTGGCAGGGGGGTCGGGGCCCACATATGCACCCGGGTGTTGTCAGCGGGCAGCTCCGAGAACATACGCACCCCCTGCCCCAACTCTGCCACCTGGGGTGGGCCTTTCCTTGGGGTAGCCCCCTCCGCCGCCCCACCCACAGAGCAGCCAACAGGGACAGTGAGAGCCGTAGAGGAGCAGTTCTAGTACAGCCGGAGCGTTAACTCACTAACCCCGAGACTCCTCACACGCCCTTCTTCATCCTGTCGCACACATGAGGAACAGACCACAGGCTAGTGGGTCATGTACGAGGCGACCAAGTGGCAAATCCAGGATTCACACCCAGCCCCGTCTGCCACACTCCGGAGCTGTGCACGTCAGTCTTCCAGGCCTCTGTGCGGCAGCTTGGGCTGCAGACGGGATCGCCGGGCTCGAGAGAGGGAATGGACAGAAGTCTGAGGTGATGCTTGTTAACATGCTTGAGAATTCACCGAGGTCCTTCTCCCGCCTCTTCTCATAATCTTTTCCACTTCCCTGCAAGGCCGCCTCCCCCGAGCCTGAGGCCCTGTGCATGGAGCGCCGAAAGAACGCTCTCCTTCCCATGGGTGGGCGGAGGAAAGGACATGCGGTCCGTAAGACCTGTGGGTCAAGTCTCAGCTCTGCCTCTCAGCTGCCCTCGAGTCCCAGGGAAATCCTGTTTCTTCTGGGGGCCTCAGATCCCAAATGTAAACAAAGTGGGGGCTGAAGGGCCATCAGGGGCTCTTCTAGCACTAGCATTCTAGAATTTTGCTTTGAGAGCATTCTGGAGACCAAGCTCTGTGATCCGGGCAGAGGAATGGGTCGTATCTTTTATCAGACCCGGCCAAGCTGGGCACATAGGAGCCCTGACTGTAAGAAGCCCTGAATGCCTACGCCCAGGGCACACGGGACGATGTGTTGCACGATGGGTCTGCTGACTCACGAAGTGCATAGGTGCCAGGCCCCTCTTCCACTCTACAGCTTCTCTCAGGAACCAGGCTGGTTCTACCTTCTGATGAGCTGATTCACGCAGGGCCAGGACCTGGGGCCATGAGGTGGACTGAATACGGGCCCTGGCTTCATGCCAGGCAGCCAAGCTAGCAAAGGCCACCTCCAGCCTTTCTCCCCACCCATGAGGCCCCACTGGAGGACTCCTCTCTTCCACGACCCCACCCCAGCATCCCCAGGTACCATTCCTGTTCTGACTTCCAGTGTCCTGCTGGCATGGGGAACCGCACGGCTAGGGCGCTTCCAGGGCACCATGACACACACCCCGGGACTATGAAGGGCCAGCCATTCAGATGGGCCAAGCTAGGGCTCAGCAGGCGCACTCAGAATCACTGTCTGGCAACACGGACTCCACAGCCCGCATCTGTCCTGGCTGGAAACAGAAGCACCCAGCAGCTCCGTGTTAGCACCTGGCTGAGGTTACTCTTGGTCTCAGTAAGCAAGGTCACTGTGTTCTCCAAACGCTCCAAGTGAGCTGAAGAGAGACGGAGCCACTCCAGGACAAGGAACAAGGAATCGGAATGCCAGGCCTGTCTGCTAGCAGCTGCGTAAGGCTGGCAGGTAGTCAGCAGCTGTGTAACCTGCGGGCCTCAGCACCGCTATCTCTACAATGAGCAAACATCACCCCTGGCACTGTCGCTGCAGCTTAAAGGGGCTGTGTGGGTGCTGCCAGTGCTTGAGGTGTGCTTCGCCCCTCCCACCCTCTGGGGCTGGCATGTACCTCACTCTGAGGAAGCCTCCCTGCTCTGAGGGACACCAAGGCACATGCTGGGGCACTCTGGCAAGCTGGGCGACACCGCTGGCAGCAAGATGGGGGGCCTGATGTGCTCAGACACGGCCTTGGCCTTGAGTCTAACCTGAGCATGTCCACAGAGGAGGCCCGGAAGGGCAGCTGGCTGAGCAAAGGCTCTGTTATGGCTGGTCTGCGAAACTGGCCCCTGCCCTGACTCTCCCTGTGGAGAAGCCACTGCCAGCCATTCCCGGGTTCCGTGCTGCAGGCACAGCAGGGCAGGTGCATCTTGGCTTGGGTGCCCTTTGCTCTAGGGCCCAGTGCAGCAGAAATGAGCTCTGGAGCCAGACAGATTGGGGTCAGAATCCCAGGGCCACTTCCTACCGGCTGAGTTCAACTTGTTCATCTTCCCTGACTCTCCGTTGCCCCATTCCTACACGGGGGCCAGGACCACCCACCTTGTGACAAAGCCGAAAGGACTAGTGACACTGATGGTGACTATAAAGGACCGAGTGGGGTCGAAGGCCACTTCCCAATAAACACACAGGCCACCTGCTCTGACCCACACATAAGCAGGGTGGAGGAAAGCCGGGAAGACCAGGCCCGGACCAGCACCCCAGATGTGGAACCCAACTCCCGAACCATGCTTGTTCAAAGGCGCTCGGAGAGATTTAATTGGGACGATTTCTCCTGAAGACTCAGCATCCACAGAGGGAAGCTGAAGGTCACATCAAATCTGAAAGGCAACTTTGTTCTTCCTGCTCCATCCGTTATGCATGAAAGAGCAGACGGCGGGTGCTCAGGATTCATAATTTGAGACATCCGGAAACTAAAGATTTTGGCCAAATTTAAACTGAAAGATGAACTTGTTGGGTGTCTTTTAAAATTATGTGGGAAAGAAGAAAGGGGAGAATTTCTTAGTCTCTGTGATCCACTCAGAATTCTCAGGGAGTCTGCCCAATGGCTGACATCACAGGGCACTGCCTCTGTGCCCTGGACATTTGAAATACCACTGTTTGAAAGAGATAAAGAGATGATGCTCAAGGAGCGCCCGCTGCGGCATGGGCAGGGGACTCAGGAGTGCCCGGACAGCAGCCAGAGGCCGGAGGAGCCCAGCCTGGTGTGACGGTCACTACGCAGACAGACAGGAGGCAGCGGGCAGCTCGACCACACACATCTCTTTAAAGGCCAGCACGTGGCAGACGAGGGTCCAGGGTGACTGGGCTGTGGCTTCACCAAGCACTTGGGGCACCACCATTTCCGCTCCAGGCCTGGAGCCCTCAGCACTCGGGGAACTGATGGCAGCTGGGCTCAGTGTGGGTGGCCACTGGGAGCTAAGTCGGGAGCTCAGCATAGCCCTTGGGATGCAGGACGTACTCGGTTAATGCAGTCACTGTCATTTATTTTCTTAAACAATACGGTACCAATTCTCCTTTGCTCTCAGGTAATCTTTGATCCACATTAGTATACAGTCTACCAACAATGTGAACCCAGGGAGGCAAAAAAAGGAAGAATGTTGTATTTTGTTCACAGAAGGCAAGACCAAGGCTCGAGGAAAGGTAACCAATCCGGGGTCAGAGTTCCTAAATGGCAGAGCCAGAATTGGGCCTCAGGTCCCCAAACTGGAAACACTCCTGACTCTCCCATCACACAAAGCTGCACATGCTAGGTTCGCATGGGCCCCGCCTGGCCTTTGGCCCCAACACTGAGGCCAGCCTAGTTCGCATGCAGCAGAGTAAATCTAGCAAGGGAACAAACGTTGTGATCAGTGGAGAATGTGATGGAAACGACACCCTCCATGGGGAACAGGCCCACAAAGACACACAAATCCTACACACATTCCAGGGGCCCACAGACCGTGGCTCCAGCTTTCAGAGACCTCAGCTGTGTGGACACACTGGCCTCTGCAAGTCGTCCAGAGGCGACCTCACCTCACACACGCCCAGCTGCAGGGTGGAGAGGGGCCCCTGAGGCCATTACCCCTGCTCCGGGGGCACTGGGTATTGCTTCTTGGTGTGTTGCCCACTCAGGTCTGCAGTCACTTCCACTTCCACTGCCAAAGGGCAGGGGCCACCGGCTGTCGTACTCTGGTCACTCCATCTAAGTGCTGCTTATATTTCGAAAAGAGAACATTTATTATTTGTGTTTTTCCTCATTAGCCTCCCTTTACAGCATCACAAAGCAAAGCACCAGACTTGGCCGCTGACACACGGGAAGCACAGACAGCTGTCAACAGAGACCGATGAAGGTCACAGTGTGGCCAGCACAATACAGGAGGCCCGCCAGTGCCGTGTGCCGAGGACAGCCTGTGTCCTGCCCCACCCCTGCTGCCCGGACAACTACGGAGGCAGATCTCAAGGACTGAGGGGGATGCAGGGCCATGGGAGTGCACAGGGAAAGGAAGTCACTTCCTCCTGAGGAAGGTCCTACAAGCCCCTCCCCGGACCCATTCTGATACAGACGCTCAGTTAGCGGTGAGGCTTCTAAGAAATGCGGCAGGCGAGTTTCCAGGGGATGCAGAAACCTGCCCTGACAAGCCAGGCCGCTGGGAGGCACCTTGGGATGGGAAAGATGCTCCAGGCTTGGCTGGGTTTCAGGATGCCAGAGCCCAAAGGCCAAGCAGGGAGGAAGGAAGGAGATTCTAAAGACAGCTCAGCTTGCTGCTGGGATGTCCTGACTGGGCCGCCGTGTCAGGAAAGAGAACAGCGTGATGCTTACGGAGTTTGATTTTGTTTCACCCTTGGATTTAGCAGACTTCAAACACTTGCATCTTCATGGAAATTGACAGTGAGAAAGCCAGCAGGGCACAGAGGCTTGCGCCAGTTCTGTGTGGAAAGGCACCAGATGGTTTGTTATGAAACACATTTTAGTCAGAAAATAGCTGGGGATTTTTGGTTCCTGGGAGGACAACAAAGCCAGAAAAAAGGAGGTATGAGTTGTGAGAGGTGGCAGCAGGGAAAGCAGCTTTGGCATCAGACCCAGGTTCTATTCGGCTCTGCCCACTACATGTGTGGCCTCACTTTCTTCCTCTGTAAAATGGCTGCAAAATATTCCTACATGGATCTAGGTGCTAGTTTTCACACATTATCCCAGGAAGCACGGGGAGGTGGGACACAGGGACACTCACACGGACACAGACAAAACGAGAGCAGGCACAGCCTCGTCCTGGAGCGGGGCAGTCACAGGGCGCTGATCCCCACAGATGCAGTCAGACTCGAAGTCACAGGCAGCCAGCCAGTCACACTGGGCCCCAGCACAGGCAGGTACCATTCAAGGGGACTTTGGGCCCCCTCTCAGGAAGGAGGGGCAGAAATCTCTATTCAATGCAGCACCATGGAGGAGCCCCTGGGGCCACACCTGCTGTAGATTTTAAAGTGCCAAGCTGTGTGTTATCTTTGGTCAGGGGCTGCCTCCCAAGAGCTCCCGGGGCTAGGGCTTGAGCCCAGGCCTGCTGGACCCTGAGAAAGGCAAGCCTGAGGCCCCAGGCCTCTCCGGAGGTGGCAGTCTCCTGAGCGCAGAAGATGACGAGTTCTGGTTGCTTTCAGTAAGGACGAGGGATGTCCTTGGCGAAATCCAGGCTCTTGAAAAGGAGAAGGGATAAGAAATGCTTTGGTCACTGTCCTGACACCCACGGCGAGCTGAGCTGGCTCAAGAAGAGCAAGAGCACGAGGCCAGTCACAGCACTGCATCCATTACGTGCCTGGTGCAAAACCAGCTTCCAACCACAGACAGGAGTCACTGAATAAATATTCAAGGCTTCTTTCAGTTCGAAGAGAAAGAGCAGGTTAAAACAATCTCTCTTCTTCCCCCTGCTTGACTGGCTGCGGCTTTGATCTGCAGGCTGACGTTGCTGTGGGCCGGAAGGGGCGGCTGGCAGGTCCTGGAGCTGGTTCCCCACCACAGGTGGCTTTGGTCGGTCATGTGCCTGGGCTGGTCGTGTCCTGCGGGCTCCAGGCCCTCAGAAGCCAAAGAGGTCCTCCTGGTCAGTGCCACTGCTGTCGGGCTTGTTCCAGTCGACAGGAGAGAGGCACTGGGCGTAGTGGATGTCCTGTGCAGACAGTCCAGTGTCTAGGACCTGGGGGTTTGTCCTCGACTGCGCCAGCCTGGAAGACAGAGCTGTGTGAGCCTAGCGCCTGGCCACAGACCTGGTGGGGCCTGAGAAGCAAGAGCAGCCTGGCCAGTACTGGGGCCAGAAAGGAGACAACGAGGGCAGGACAAAGGCAAAGGCAAACATCCCAGCAGCCAGGAGAGGTGCAGCCTCTGAACAACAGGCTGCCCTGAACAACAGGGTCTAAACTGGGCCAGTGAGTGGGATCCCTGTCTCCCCCACCCCACCTAGGGCTAGGGCGCTCACACCAAGCTCAGCCAGGGCAGGAGCTGCCTAGGGAAGAGGGGAGAGGGCAGCACTGGGAAGGCAGTGGCCACCGGCCAGGGGCTGGAACTGGCCAACCACAGGAAGACTGCTTGGCTGTAACTCTGTTTAACAGGTTGCTTCTCAAATAAATAACATAAAAAGAAGACAACATAAACAGCCACTCAAATAAATAACATTATCGGGAATCAAACTCACGACCTTGTGCTTGCCAGGCAGGCGCTGTGCCGCTGTGCCGCTGAGCTAGATCCCCAGCCCCCCTCAGGAGGGATTTGTGGGAAATTCTAACAGCCTGGAAAGGGGTCTGACAACGAGCCAGAGGCAAACACTGTGAGCTGACGGGTTTCACAAAATGTCTATGCACTGGACTAGCATGAATTAAGCCCAAGTCTGGGCTGTGTGATTATAACATGCTGTTGTTTTCTGTTTAATGCTTTGCTGACTTTTGAAATTGTTAATAAAGGGCACATGACACTTGAATAATCTGAGAAAAGCAAATGAAAGCTTTGCTTCAAAAGAGGAGGGGCTGTGAGCCAGGGAAGCAGGGAAGGTGGGGAGGTCTCTGCTTCCATGAAGGGGCCACACATGCTGCCCCGCTGGGCTGGACTGGCGCTCTCACTAGGCGGCAGGAAGAAGCCGGCCAGGTGGGGGAAGGCAAAGCGAAGCTCCTGACTCTGTCCCATCCACCAGACCCCCAGTCCTAAGTAACACCTCAGAAGGGGAGGGCTGCAGGGAGCTGCTGAAGTCCCTAAGGAGAAAGGGAGGCCTGAGTGACGGGGGACCGGAGCACAGCACCCTGAGCCAGCTGCCAGCCTCTCCTCAGCCACAGACTTCTTGGCCGTGTGTCCTCAAGCTGAAGGCAGCCAGGAGTACAGGGACGGCCCCTGGGAAGATGGTGAATCCCTACTGCCCCGGGGCTTTACCAAAACCCCTGCCCAGGATCCTGACATCCTTCTCTACGTGGCACTAAAGGGGCTTAATTGAGCACTGCCTTCTCCCTGGCCCTGCGTAAAGACAAGCTGTGCGGAGGGGCGGGGACAAAGCCTGCAAAAAGCCGGCATGTGGAGGCTGCCGCCCCCGGTAGAGAAAGGAAACGAGCACGGGCTGCAGGGTTTAGCACAGCTCAGGTTGTGGCAGAGCAGCCGCGGGGAAGAGGTTTAGCTTAGTAATAAGAGCTTTCGAACACATCTGGCCACTCCGGAAGGGGCTCCCTCGCTGGGCAGGGAGCTCCCTGTCCTGGAAGGTATTTGAGTAGAGGTGGGATTCTTGATCTGGAGGAATCAATCAGAGGGACTCACTCTCAGGCATGGCAGAGGCAACCCTAGGTAAGCAGCCAATATTACCTAGAAAACGCTTCATCCAGGCCATCGTCCAGCTCCTTGGGGAAACAAAACAGGAGGTGAGAGCTGAGTGGGATCCTGCGCTCCCCTTTGGGGTCTGTCCTGCCCTGGGTGACCTACGGCCTGGGCTTGGCACGGGGGTGCAGCGGGGTACTCAGAGAAACAAGCACAGGCAGGGCTTCCACTTCACTGCAGGTACAGCCTCTCAGCCCAAGGACCCACAGCTGGGGCAGGGACGGGAGAAAGGGCCAGTGAGTTCAGCCCCGGTTCTGTCACGAGCTGCCTGTGAGACCTGGAGCAAGTCATCACTTCTCCTTGAGACTCAGTTTTTCCTCCCATAAAATGAGGGGCCTGTGATTTCCATGGTTTTCAAATTCCGACAGGCAAAGGCTGGAGAAGGCGACTACCTTTTATCCCCTTCCAAAGCCAAGCTCAAGCCCTAAGTTCCCACAGATGACTGACGACAGGAGCCTCGGTGGAAAAGTGCAGGGTGAGGTCCCTCAGCCTCCCAGAGCCACTGGGCAAGCGGTAAGAATGAGGACCCACAACAGAGCACAGCTAGAGGGACCTGACCCTGACTGAAGTCCCTCAATGTTCTAGATTCTTCAAAATTAAAGAGACAGGACAAGTGACCATGCCATCTATAGTAGACCCTGGACCAGACAAAGGACACGGAGGGCACCTGAGCAACGGAAGCTCTGGAGACTATACAAGAGGGTTGTATCAATGTTCACTTTCCAATTCTGGTCACTGTCACAGATTCTTTGTGAATTTATTTCTGTAACATAGTCTGAAATTTCTAAATGAAAAATTAAAAGCGTTCCGGTTCCTCTGGGAGGTTTGTGGGCAGAGGTTCACGGTCCTCAGTGAGGAGATGAAAGAGCTGAGACCCAGAGAAGTGAAGGGGGCCTGCCCTGAGCCACGGGGAGTCAAGGGTCAGGCTGACAACAGCCCAGTCCCTGGTTCCTCATTCAGCCGGCTGAGCAGGGAGGGGTGTCAGGGACAAACTCTGCCCTGCCAAGAACAAGGGAGCCTTTGGCTGATCCTGTGGTGGGCAGAGCGGTGGACGCTCAAGCCAAGAGGCCGGGCATTGTGAGGAGACAGCTGTGCTGGGAGCCAGGACTGCTGGGGGCGCAGCCCTGGGTTCACAAGGGACATTGTTCTTCCCCTGGGCTGGGTCTGGTTCTCCCAGAGGCCCACAAGTCACAGTGCGAGGGCTTGGACCGGGAGCTGCCTTAAGCTCATCCACAGATCTGGCTGGGGCTCACTGGACCCCGTGGGGTCCCCAGGGCACAGGGTCACTCACCCAGACGACACTGCTGCTGCTCAAGGCTTGAGGCCTCAGAGCTTCATCCACGTTAGTGGTGTTAGCACTGACTGTGGACAGCGGGGCCTTGGTGGTCTCTTCCAAGTCCAGCAGGTTCCCAGTGGCCACCACTGTGAGGAGGTCCGGTCAGGGGCATCAGTAGGAGATTGGCCACGTATTTCCTCATCTCCTGACCCCACCTGAGAGGTCCCTGGGCTGTCCAGTTTCTGACACCCTCTTCAGACAGGGCCTAGCCCAGGCCCATCACTACAGCAGCCAGAGCCCCACCTGACACTCGCGGTCAGCGCTGGTCAGCGGCCTGCAAGGTGAGAACCTGTCTCCCTCTGATGGCTGAGACTAACTTTCATATCTACAACAGCTGTCAGGTTTTTCAGAGGGCTCCGAGCAGAGTGTATACATACACACTATATTATATACGTGCACAGAGACAGAAAACATGCATGAAAACAAGTAAATTTTTTTCTAATTTATCTATAATGAAGATGTCTAACTGACCTAACAAAACAAAACAAAACTCCAAAAGTTTACCCTAGCCCAGGAGAGAGGGCCCTGGATGAAGGGCAGGCTCCGTACCCTGCAGTGAGGGCCCCTTCCCTGCCCGAGACTCACAGCTTTTCAAGGAGGGTGTGTTGTCGTGGCGGGTCCCCAGCGCGTCCCCGCCCTCTTGGCTGGCTTTCTCCCTCTTTTCTTTCTCTGTGGGATCAAGGTACAATATATCAGAGCCCCAGATAGCAGCACTCATCCCAGCAACCAGCGGGCAGGAGGAAGCCTCCATCTCAGGGGCACTGCTAGGTCTCCCGAGGGAGGAAGGACACCTTGCAGACTTACAAGCACCCTGAGGGAAAGAGACAACCTAGTTCCTTTTTCAGATGGAGAAACTGAGACCCAGGTGAGAGGACCTATTCAAAATCACAAGCTGGGTGAAGGCAAAAGCTGGGAGTCAGCCCAGGTCTAGCTCCGGGCTGCATCTGTCTCCCAGGCCTCTAGCCCACCCTTGATGTTGACAGACTCACCTTCCTTGGCTGCCTGCCAGAACTCAAAAGCGACTTTGAAGGCCTGGGCCACGGTAAGGGTGACAGCTTGCGCCTGAAAAACAGGAAGTGGGGGTGGGAGAAGAGGGGTGAGTTTCAGCCAGGGAAGAGCAGGTCTAAACTGGAGGGCTGGCGAGTCCAGGCCAGGGCTCCGCTCTGGACTTCCCCACTGCAGTGCTAGGGGTCAACCAACCACAGGCTTGGAGGAGGAAGAGCCGGCTCCTCCCACGTCATCAAAGCAGCCTGGGGCTGAAGGAAGCTCAATCCTGGAGAGGCAGTGCAGCCTCTAGCCCAGGTAAATTCCCACCCTCATTCATCCCCCCACTGGCTACTCACCTCCACTTTTTTTCTTCCACTTTGGGCTTCTCTGAATCAGCTGAGAGGCTCACTTCCTCAGAGAAGCCCTCCCTAGTTACCCAAGGACTTCATACACTACCTGAACCCTTGGAATTGGAGAACAGAGGCCCCCAGAAGGGTTGGAAGGACCCAGCCACTGCCTGAATTAAATCACAGCCAGAGAGGCGAAAGAAAGACTATGTGCAGGGTTAGAGGGACCGGTAAGTGGATTCCAGCAAGGAAGGAGGCAGCTGATGCATTTCCTGAGCAGGAGCAAGATGTCAATGAGTGTCAAGGGTCAAAATTATTCAGTGTCATAACCAACGGGGGTGCGGGGGCAAAGTGGGGGGGCACTGGTCTTTGCCCCACCCCCACCCCCAGCCCCCATCCTCCCCTTCAAATCCTTTCAAATGTCACTTCTCCCCCACTGGGATCAGGTATATGAGTGGCTGTAGCTCACATGTCTGTGCCCCTGTGTGCTCCCCACCACCACACCCCTGCCCCAGAATATTCAAGGGCCCTCAGTGGTGGCAACAACGCTGGCTGAATTGTATCTGTCCAAGAAGCAGGACTTCTTTTTTTTTTTTTTTTTTTTTTGTACCAGGAACCAAACTCAGGGCCTCGCGCTTGCCAGGCAGGCGCTGTGCCTTTGAGCTATATCCCCAGACCAAGAAGCAGGACTCCTGAAGTTTCCTGCCAACCCAGACCTCCCAGGCCACATTCACCCCAACGGCCTGTTCTCTGTGACTCCATGGTTAACCAGCTCGGCTCTGGTAGTGGAAGCCCCCTAGCTCAGAGCTATAGCTAATGCTGGCAACACTGCCAAACTTCCTCCTGAAAGCCCTGGGTGAGAGCAGAACGTAAGACTTCAGGCCTAACCAGCCCTGGCCCTATTTCCCTCCCTCCATCAGACAACGCAATTTAATTGAGAAATGAATCCATGGCCACTGCCTTTAAAAACTCTTTTAAAAAAATTTTTTTTTAAATCTCTAAACAAGCTGAGTGATCCATGCCAATTAAACCTCACGAAGTATAAAATCTCATTTGAATGTCTCCGTCATTTACATTTTTGATGGAAGTACGGGTGCTTTATGGCAAAACTTAAATATGGTAATTAAGTATGAAACTCTTCACAGCTGTTTACAATTTAAGCTGTCACGTCTGAATCAAGTTTAATAGACCCGGTTACCATTGAGAATTGCCCATGAACTAAAAATATGGGCTAATTACCGGTCCGAGTCAGATCACTGTATACCCAAGCAAGGGCCGGTCACCCAATGTGGCAAGGACATGGAAACACCATTATTCTTGCCTGCAGAAAACCTGGGGACACAAGCTTGTACTGTTTTTGCATAAATCTGCCATTGATTTACATACATTTCCCACCCCTTTGCCCCGACGTCCCAAGCTGTAAGTTAAGCCAAATATAACTGGAGATGTGGATGTGTGCAGGTGGCTCAGGCCCAGGCTAGACAAGGGCTGAGAGTTGGGGATGGGAAGGGCCTCTTCCAGGCGGCTGCAAGAATCTAAAGCAACATCAGAGGAAGAACTGGACCTGCTTCGAGAAGACTTCGTACTGCCCAGGCCAGCCCTCCCCTGCGTGCCTCTGGCTGTGGGTCTGTTTATCACCCTGACTAGTTTCCGTTCAGGCCACTTTTCCATGTCTTGCCCTTGTTCCCAGTAACCAGACTATTATTCCTTCAAAGGGGCCACCTACTCAGACCAAATCGGCCCTGTGCCCCTAGCGGGCCTGATGCCCAGGAGGATAAACCCGTGCATGAGGATTAATCCAGGAATGTGGCAGCCGCTTGGAGGCACAGCACCACCCCTCAGGCAGGGTGGAACTGGGGTTATCCAGGCCGTGCACCTGTGCAGCAACCCTGTGCTCCTCCAACTCTACTTCCAAGCTCACAGGCCCAAGCCCCTTAGAGGCCTCTCTCCTCGGCAGATGGAAACCTTTCCTTGCAGGGACATTTCTGACTGTACAACAGGACCGGAGAAGGGAGTCCTGGGTGGCTGTGCTGCCCCAGCATGGGGCTATGCCTTCCTTCGCAGGAAGGAGCCCCGCCCTTCTCCAAGCTCCTTGCTCAGTCAGGTACCCCACTGAGGAGGTGCAGGATGGAGATGCAGGGTGAGCGCTGTGTCACCATCCCACTTAAACCCCGCTGCAGGCTGCCTCTGCCTTGCTGTCCATCAGCCAGGAGTCCGCAACAGCCCCTCCACGGCGTGCCTTTGCACTTGTAGTTCCGCCATTGGAGAGCACCTACCTGTCACCCACATCCTCTAGCCTGCCCAGCCCCTGCTCACCACTTATCCTTCCAAGCGTCTGTCTCTGGGGAACTTCCTGACCTCCAGGCAGATACAATGACCTAACCCAGAGCCAGGCCCTGGGATTCCCACAGACTTGTCCATGTCCCCTGGGTCCTCAGAGTCCAGTGTAGGGCTTAGCCCAGGTCAAGTGTGTCTATGTGTCCATGGAGGCAGCTGCCAGCTGATTGGCACAGAGCCTAAGATGCCCATCTCACCTCTGCCTCCCCCTGAGAGTCCAGAATATGTCCATGTCCCTAACAAGGCCAGGCCAGGAGGCCTTCATGCTGCCAGCCTGGGCTGAACTAAGGTCTCTGTGGACTGATACCACCCTGGGCTGGGCTGTCTCTCGGAGAGCAATCTCCCAGGGCTCCCTGACGGGGGAGGCTGAGTGGCCCAAAGAAAGGAGAAGGACAAGGCACAGTCCAGCCAGTCAGCCCTGATCCCAGACAGGATGTGCTGAGACAGGAAGGCTCTTCTAGGTGTCCAGCGGGAGCCGTGCCCTCTGCCCAACCGGGGTCAGCTGCCAGTGGCCAAGCATCGCCGGGCTCTGTCTTCCTTGGCACCTGCCGTCTATCCTGGGTCAGGCTGATTTCACTTAAGGCTACCTAAATCCTCTGGCCCAGCCCCCTCTTTCTCTTACTCCCAGAACCCGCAGGGAGAGGAAATCACTGCATCTGGGAACGCCCTCCACCCAGGCCCACACTGCAGCAACAGTGAGGCCAGCCACCCTGCCACGCCATCACTTGCTCCATCAGTAGGAAGGGAGAACAATGCAGACGTAATGAGCTTGTATGTTTAAGTCCTTGTCCTCATAGGAGACAACTCCAAGGGTTACCAACTGAGAACAAGACTGTCACGGGGAAAGACACTGCAGCGCAGCGTCCTGGGGCATCACAAGACCCTGCGGGAATGGTCAGTGACACAGAATCTAAAGGAAAGAAACGAGGTGTGCAAAACAAACAGGGGCCCTTTGGAGCAATTCTGGATGTCATTCTGGTGGTAGGCAAGCAGCCTGAAGAAGGGCAGGATCTTACCCAAGGCTACACAGCACATCAGCTGTGATCTGGTGTGGCTCTTCCTATGGCGCCCCTTCTGCAATACCTGTGGCCCCCACAGATGTCCACCTCTGAATCCCTGGAACCTGTGAATGTCACACTACATGGCAAAAGGGTTTTGCCGATGGAATTAAGTTAAGAATAATCTTGAGGTGGGGAGATTATCTTGGATTACCCAGTAAGCCCAAGGTCATCACAGCGGCCTTGAGAGGGATCAAGAGTCAGAAAGAGGAATGGCAATGACAACATCAGCAAGACCGGAAGGTGCTACTCTGCTGGCTCTGAAGATGGAGGCTGGAGGGATGAACTAGGAACAGGCGCAATGCAGGTGTCTCTAGAAGGTGGGAAAGGTGAAGAAATGGTGCTCCCCGGAGTCTCCGGGAGAAACACAACCCCACTGACCTATTCAGACCTCTGGCCCTCAGAACTGTAAGAGAATACATTTTTGTTTTTGTTTGTTTGTTTTTTTCCAGTACCAGGAATTGAACTCACGACCTTGTGCTTGCCAGGCGGGCACTGCGCTGCTCAGCTAAATCCCCAGCCCCTACATTTGTGTTGTTTTAAGCCACTAAATCTGAGAATATCTGTTATGGCAGCCATAGGGAACTTATACAATATCTAAAGCAGAAAGCCTGGGCTCCACAATGATGGTGACGTTCTTGATGTTGACAGGGAAGGGGAAAGGACCTCGTCTCTATGTCTCCCAAGAATGCTGGGCCTGGGGACCCGGCTCTGAGCTGTTAACAGAGGTTAAGAGATGGTGACACTAAATCAATAGATGTCAAGAACCTCCTTACAAGGAAGATGCTCAGATCTCCGGGGCCTCAGAAATTAAAGCATCAATGCCAAAGGCTGACCCACTCTAGCTCCTTGCCCCCAAATACAAGCAAGATACCTAGAAACCTTCACGGTCTTTCATTCACTCAAGCCAGCTAGATGTGGTCAAGAAGAGGCCCAAAAATGTGACAGGAAGCTCTTGGCAAATGATTATGCAGCAGGGAGGATTGTGGACTCAGAGACTCACTGTCCCTGATGACTGTGTCATCTTCAGCAAGACAGCTGAATTGCTGGGGTCTGTTTCATTATTTTTTATAAATAAAAAAAAATTTTAAGGCCAAGCATGATGGCACACGCCTGTAATCCCAGCACTCAGGAGGCTGAGGCAGGAAAATCGTTGGGAGTTCAAGACTAGCCTGGGCCACAAAGTGAGCTCAAGGCCAGCCTGAACTGCATAGTGAGACCCTGTCTCAAAAAAGAACGCCCCCCCTGCAAAAAAAAAAAAAAAAAAAACTTAAAGAAAGACAGTGGAAATCCTAAGTTTCCACCTTGCATAGTTGTTATAAGGATTAAACATGAAAATGCCTCAGAGCCTAGCACTGGAATGGACCTGTACAAGTTATCAAACACAGCCATTTGCCTGGTTGCTCCAGTCAGTCTGCCAGTTAATCTTACTTGTCAACTCCACTGGACTGAGAGACTCCTGAAGAGATGACTCGATCATGGGCCACTACAGTCATCAGTGGAGCCATCTGCTGCTCTTCATAGCTCATGTACTATGTGGAGGTGGGGCTCAGTTAGAAGAGATGGCTCACGGGGACATCCTTTGGACAGTACATCTCTCTGGTGTTCTTTCCCTGGGCACTACTTTCCAGCCACTATGAAGTACGCAGCTCTGCTCCACCATGCCCTGCTGCCTCAGAGACAGCCAACCGTGGACTGAACCCTCTCAAACTATTAGCCAAAATAAACCTCTCCTCCCTAAATGTGAGGGTGTCAGGTATTTTTGTCCTAGAGACAGGAACGCGAATATATGTACACAGCAAGTCTAGTCCCTTGAGGGCTCTGGCCTGTGCCTTTTAGCCAGGGTTACTCCGATCTCTCATTTATAAGGATGAACACCTACAGAGCTTATTCCCCCAGACCATATTAACGACAGGAGATCCAAAATCATCTCATATCCAACAAAGCAATCTATAGAGGGGAAGGGACCCAAGCCCTTCCTGGGGATACAGCCTAGCCACTGCCTACATCCAGGCTGTCCAGCTGGGTGACTGCCTGACTATGGCCCTACTCCGTGTCCTCAGCTCTCAGCACACACATGACAGTCCCATGGGTTTTCATCCTTTTTAAATCTCGCCTCCCACACCAGAGAAGCCCGAGAGCAGTCCCACCCTCCCTGCTGACCATTTTGCGCTTGGTGCAGAGGAAGGCGTGGCACTCGAGATTCTCGCTGTGCTGGCTCTGGGCAATGTATGCGAACA